TGATTCTTTACAAAATTCTAGGTTTATAACATAACCAAAAATCTTATTTCTTTCCTAGTTTAATTGGGATGATGTTGATATTACCATCAGTTCCACTGTAATTTAGTAAACTGTGAGTATATATATATATATACAAGACATTGAAAACATAATACTGGAAACGGAGACTTTTTTATTTGTCTAGAAATAGAGAACTCTTTCCAAGGTAGCAGCCATGAAAATTTAATCCAAGTATCTCTTCAGTGATAGATAGTTCAACTTCACTTCCACCATACCAGATAGGTTGTATAATCTTACCAGTCTCACATACTTTGATCTTAGAATGGATAGTTTTCAAGGTACAATTTCAAATGCCATTGGTAACCTTGGATCACTCAGACATGTCTACTTGGACGTCAATGACCTCCATGGCAGCATCCAATTCAATGGTGAGTAGAGGAATGCAGATGGTTGATACAAGTTGTTCTTTATTCTAGATGCCTTAGAGACTGTTAACAATTTGCTCCATTATAGTTTCTCCCCCAGTGTATGGGCAAGGATGCTAGCTTTATTTGTACTAAGGCACTGCTTTCCTAATTCAATAATTGAGATGTTGAAGAGTTGGCAATTGAGAAGTTTGAACAGAGGAAAGTAGCATGGGATGTGATTCTGGCAACTGTTTTGTGTTCAATTTGAAAGGAAAGAAATTCTAGAATTTTTAAAATCAAGGGAAGTACAATTGAGGCGGTTACATACAAATTTATGGGGAAGGTGTTATGTTCGCTGGTGATTATCAAACTGATTAAAGGCACAAGTACAAATTCGTTTTGGATTCCCTCTTTTATACTCCCTGTGTATAAAATTAACCTCTCTAAGGCCTACGATAGAGTGAATTGGAATTTCCTTATCCATTGCATGAGCTTATTGGGCTTCTCAAGCGAATTTTGTTCTTTGATTAAAGGTTGTATGGCCTCTCAAAGGATTTAAATTGGGCTCATATGACTTCAAACTGAGCCATCTCGGTAATCTTAGATTGTAGATCTCTTGCTAGGTCATTCTCTAATATTATTTTCTGCCATACTTCTCGTTCTTGTAATAGGGCAGCCCACGGGCTGGCCCAATTTGAGCTTAAGCACCAATACATCCCAGGTGTTGGTCCTTCCCCTCGGTTTGTATTTATTGAATGGTTTGTGCCTGATAAGGCTTCAAAAAAAAAAAAACCAAATTCCCATCAACTAATATATATGCTGTGAGCTGTGATAAACAGTCACATAAATCAAGAAGCACTTATCCAGATAATTAGTAAACCACATAAATTTGGTTTATCTCATGCTTGAAAACTTTATTACAAAATCGACAATTTAAAAAATAATAGATTTCATTACATTCAAATTAATACTAATATAATATTTTACAACATTAATAACGAAATTATATAGTCATAGTTTAAATTATAATTTTATGGATTATTAAATTCAATAAATAATTAATATTTTAAAATTTTGAATACTGATATTAGTTAAATAACTAAATAATATTGTAAACTAATTTCACTTGTATCAATTAATAATTCTAGAAAAATTAACTTTCAAAAAAATTAATATTTATTAATAATAATTTCAAAATCTATATATCTATTTATTATATATGTACTAAAATTAATATTTATTGTATTTTTAGTAATTATTTATTGTTTTTTATGAGAAATATATTTTCAATAATTATGTATACATATATTTTTGTTTTATTATTTAACAAAAAAATTTCAATAATTATTGGAGATTAAACTATTGTTATTTAACTTTTAAGTTTAATTTATTATACTTATTGTATTTTTGTTATAAATTTATTTTTAGTAATTATGTATTTTTCTTGTAATCTATTGATTAATATTTATTGGAGATTAAATTATTATTTGAGATTACACTATTTATTGATAAATTTAATATATTTTTAGTATTTATTGTATTATTGTAATTATTGTATTTTTATTAGTTCTTTTATTGTATTTTATTAATTTATCTGAAATTAGGAGTATTCACGAGTTGGTTCAATTCGGGTTGCATTGGTTTGGGCCAATTTTCAGTTTGATTGATCGGTTCAAAAGATTTAAACTTAAAAATTAAAAATTTATAGTGTTGTTATTAAAAGTTAAATTTATGATGTAAAATATACTATTAAACTAAGGAATATGGGAATTTTTTTCACTTTCTCGTTTTAAAAAATATAAAATATTAATATACATCTATTGTTAGGTTGGGAAATTATAAGACCAAAGTTGATCGGAAATACTAAAAACTGACAAACTCGGGTAACATTGGGTTGGGTTGGTCAGTTTCATCGGTTTGATGAACAACCCTAGCTAAAATTAATTATTGTTATTTTTGTATTGTAAAAAATTATTAAAAGTAATATATAAAAAATGAATAATTATTAATTAGTTAAAAATTAAAGTATAAAACAATTGTATACTCTTATGTGTTTCTATTGTTTAACTTTCGCTTAACAAAGCCTGTGCATCTCATGGGTCCCTGCTAGTAAGTCAAGAAACACATATCTATATAATTAGTAAACCACATAAATTTGGTTTATCTCGTGCTTGAATTACAATTTACAACCATGAAACATGAGAACATGGATAATTTCAAAAGAATTGTTTCATGTTTTTAAACGAAAAGAAGAAAAACTCGAAATCAAGGGGTTTATTTTGATAATTCGGATTTCCTTCCTCCTTACATGACCCAATGTGCAATTGGAAGATGGGTGTGGGGAGGATTTTATAGTGAAAATCTCAACTCCTGTTTTGATGACGTGGTAAGAGGATTTAGGCCATGTTTGGGAATTCTTAAGTTAAAAATAAGTGCTTATTTTATCTAATAAGAACTTAAATATGCATTTGTGACTATTTTGTCCTTCATTTTCTTTCAAAATTTCAAAATATACCCTTTGAAAAACACTTTTATTAAATTATTTTTATAAAAACACTTTATAAAAGTACTTTTATGAAAGCACTTTTGTAAAAGTACTTTTATAAAATTCAACTAGGGATAATTTTATATGTGGTATTTGAAAACTCAACTAGGGATAATTTTGGAAGAAAAAAATTGAATAAGTGCTTATTGTATAAGCACTTAAGAAAACTGAAAATTTGGGCTTAAAAAATAAGCCCTTATTTTTAAAATAAGAATTTATTTCAAGCTTAGTTCCCAAATACCAATAAATGCTTAATGGCCCAAATAAACACTTATTTTGAATAAGCACTTATTTTGGGCCGAGACTACCCCAATTAATGTTTATTTGTATTTGAGAAATAAGTAATTTTTAAGTATCCATTCAACACCTATCTTGGTTCGCCACGTCATTTTGAAAATCTTGTTAGAGTAATTGCTTATTTCTAAGCCACTCATTCAGTAAACATTTATTTTTATGGCTAAGCCCTCCAAAACTTAGCCTTAACCTAAAAAGAGATTAAAGGCTCTTTAGGGCCATAACCTTATCCATACATTGCATGGAATGTTCCTAGGCTGTTGAATCTCCTTTAATAAAGAAACCTTTTATTGTTAAATTAAAAAAAAAAAAGTACAAGCTTTACATTGGAATACAATGGTTCTTCTAATTGATCTAACGTAAGAACAGCATAGGAGAGGCAAATGGAACGTACCCAGATGGCCCAGATCCACGTTAAATCTCTCCTCTAATTGTGCAGATGGGGAGCAGGAAACAAAAGTTCCCCCCCAAAACAATTCATCACCATCCACCAAAGGCAAGCAACTAATAAGTGATGAGTGATGAGGCAGGCTACGCCTACGCCGCAAGCAGCTAAAAGAAGCATATTATTATTATTATTATTATTATTATTATTATTATTATTATTATTATTATTATTATTATTATTATTATTATTATTATTATTATTATCTCTCCATGTAAGACGTAACAATAAGTCAATAAATAAGTAAAACGACCGTGAGGATAGAAATACCTACCTATCCCCATTCCCCAATGCCCATGTGCCCACACCTATCATTCATGCGTCATTATTTGGCCATTACCCCTCCCCCCAGCCCCCTACGTAGATAATGTATGTAGGGGATGCGACGGATGGAATATTCCGGAAACCATCTTTCTCCTCTACCAGTAACATTCCTTCCTTTTAGCCCTTTGCACCACCACCATTCCGTAGGCTAAGGCCACTATGGCACAAAGTGAGGGGTCCACTTTACTTGATACTCCCACGTCCCAAGCCTCATGTTATTGCTAAATCAGCATGTTGATCCATAAGCATAGATATTTATAAAATTAGGTCTTGATTTATATATGCATTAATTATTGGAAGAAATTTCGATTTTAATGTTTTTTTTATAATTAAATTTTAAGACCGTTTAATAATTAATAAATAATTTATCAAGTATTTTTTTCAATTTTAAATACAAATAACAGAAGCTATACCAAACATATACAACGTCTTTCTCTCCCCCCACAGTCCACGCACTCTACGCTACGCTTTACCTTTGGGGTTCGGAGTTGATTGCTTAGAAATTTATTAGATAACAGGCTAGACTCTAGAGGAACGAGGATTCAGCTTAAGAGGCTTTTGACCTGGAAAAGGAGGACAATTTGCTGTTTGATCACCACAGAAAAAAAAAATCTGATTTTATCCTTTCTACTATATACCTACCCGATATTATATTTATTTTGAATTCTAAAGTCTCCAAGCTTCCTCTACTCTACTTCAATCCAAATTCCACTCTCCATTTCTTCAATTGGATTATAGTCTATGAATTAATTGAAAGGAGATGGCCAAAAGCTCTCCCACCGTGTAAGTTGTGAAAGGCTATGACTGCTAGCACAAATAATGGAGAAATGAGAAGATACTCTTCACCTCTCTCCATGTCTCCATCTATTTCTTACAGCTAATGAATATAGCATGGAATCAATTGCCCAATCACCAAAGGAGAATTGGAGAAAACGACTTTTTTTTTCTTTTTAGTGCAAAGGAAAAAACAGCGAAAATAACATAATAAAAGAAGTAATTCAGATTTCAGATTAAAAAAAGTTAAATTAATTACACGGAATGGTATTTACGCACAAAGAGAGAAGAAAAAGGGAAAAACCAAGCAGTAATAGGTGTAGACCTTAGAGTAGAATCCTGTGGTTAATAAAAGCTTTTAATAGACCTTCTTAGAGAAGAGGGAGCGGAGGCTAAAGAGGTTACCCCCGTTTCCACCGTTACCGGGGCCACCGCCGTTGCTCTGTTCACCGCCGCCGCCGCTATTCTCATCGCTTCTACAACTCATCTGAGAACGATAGCCTATACACATCGGAACATTCAAATTCAAAACCCTAGCTCTGGCTCCACCGCCACCACTTCGTCCACCAATACCACCGCCGACAACATTCTTACTCCGGCGAGTCTCTGATCCTTCCTTCTTTGACCCCTTATCGGCATTCCGAAGCAGAGGCTCGGAGCTTCTCGCGCCAGTGCCTCCACGCCGTACCTGCCAAACCGGGCTACTCCTCCCCAAATGGACCCCACCTCGACCGGGGCTACTCGGCCACTTCCTGAACTTGGACTCGCCCGTCGAGTTACTGCGTGAACAAGGGGCACTACTCACCTTCCGGGTAGCCGCCCCATTAGCTGCCATTTTCGGGCGGTTGCCGCTATTTCCAGCCGAACGGCTCCTGGAGAATGGCCATATGTTGATGTTGAGCTCCGCAGCGCTCGCGCCACTGCTGCTCTTTCTCTCTTTCTTCTTCTCTTTATCTCTGTCTTTTTCTTTGTCCTCGTGGCTGTTGGTGGTTGTGGAGGTTGCTGCGCCTGCTGCTTTCTTTTCACCCTTCCTGAAAATGTCTCTCCACCGCTTGGATGTTGATACCACGGATGGTGCTGACTCGGGCAACGCGGCTGATGACTCTGGTCTTGGTCCGGGTTCTGGTTCTGGCTCTGACTCTGGCTTTGGTTCTGTTTGTGGATCGGGTGTTTCTGGATTGGCTTTGGATTCTGAGTCAGTTGGGTCGGAATGGTACGTAGAAAGGAGATGAAGAGGGAGAAGGACGCCGTCAACGAATAATTCATCAGCGGAGAGGAGGTTAGGTTGTGGGAAGGATGGGTTTCTGACCATCCAGAATTCGAACTCCGGCGAGTTAGAAGCGCTACTTCTCCTCCCACTACTGCTCGGTGAGAGGATTGGATGGGGTGTAGGGGTTTGAGTCTCTGGTTCGAATCTGGGACTCTCCATGGATGAGAGGGAGAGGGGAGAGGGGAGAGGGGGGAGGGGGATTGGATTTGTGTTTTGTACTGAGATGGGTGGTGTGAAGTTTCTTTCTTTCCTCGGGAGTCAGCACATGGTTCCTTGCAGGGATCTACAGGCATTAAAGAAAAGGAGAATTGAGTTTTTAAAAGCTGAGCGGCTGAGCCTCGAAAAGGCTCGATACCACACGCAGTGAAACGAGAAGCGAAAGGGATATATAGAGAGAGAGAGAGAGAGAGTAGTGCGTAATGCGTTAGGGATGATAAATCATAAATCCCATTGCCATCTCTATCCATGGAGGGACCGCATGGGAAAACAAGAAACATCAAGTTCAATGACAGAACGATATCACAACCATGTGACGAGAGGGTCCCACCCCATCCCCATCTTACACGATTTTAGTTTAGCGAAGAATCCCCGTCGATATCGAACGGTCGGATCCTGAGATCGATCTCCATATGCTTCCCGAAACTATTTTCATCAATCAAGTGACTGAATCTCGTACTGGTGGTACTTAACAGAGTCCGCTAGTTTTCTGACATCATAAATTTTGATGGACGGATTGATTCCCCCCCGCGAATCGACCGCGGATGCTAGAAGATCACTGGGCCCCTCCCCTCCCGCAGTGGTGTATGGTAACAGGTAAGGCGATTGAATTTGGAATTCATCAGATTGATGTCATGTCGAGGACTCGAGGGAGGAGGGACCACGGATATATGGGAATTGAGTAATCGAATTTATGTGTGTTGGCTCTTTGTGAGGTGTAATAATACGTGGCGTTGACATCCACCATTGTTACTGCAGATCCTTGTCCTCAAATGGTTTCTTACATCCCTTCATCTTAGGAAACTATTATTTAAAAAAAAAAAGAAAATAAAATTACATTACAACTGAACTACGTGTGGAGAAAAGGAGTGGGCTAGAAAGAGATAATACATTAATTTTATGTTTTGTGTAGTAAACTAGTAATGTCATTGCCACGTCAACTAATAGGAGAGGATTTTAGTAAATATTCAAAAAATAGGAAAATTTTTAATAATTACCGGACAGTAGGGGAAAAGTTTAGGTAAATTTCACCAAAGTGGACAATCTGAATTTATTGGTACTTCAGGTCATCTGATAACGGTTGAAGCAACTGAACCATATGCATTTGTCTTTTAGTGGATGGAATAGTTGTATGATAAAATATTTTCAAGGGTATAGAATTCAACACAGACATGCAATTCAGCCATTGAATAAGCCATATAAGTCATTCAGTTTCAGCTATTTCATAGGTGGATGCTTTCTTTCCTTGTCAATACTCAAATTTCTATTATTTAATTCACCATTTTCATCACCTAAGCTTTGTCCCACCTATATGGGTTCCTTGTCTCACCATTTTGTTATGTTTAATTCTATATCCAGTGTAAAATTATCCATTTTAGTATTTTAATAATCCTTGTTCTTTCTGCCCCTAGCCCTTTTGGCACCTTTAAGTGCAATAGATCACTTTTTACGGGTGTGGGTGATGTATATGGTCTATTATTTAAATCATTTATAATATTATTTTATTACTAAGACTATCATCGTCATAATCAATGCCTTATCCCAATTATATGGGGTTGGCTACATGAATCCTTTTTGCTAATTCGTTCTATTTAGGGGGTGTTTTTTTTTTCTAGCATTTAACAAGGGGGAAAGTTGGTCAATCGGATTTTGATTCCTATTAACGCATTGACCAAAAGTTTATTTTCCTTATCCATCTCATAAGTGGGTAAATAAGTTTTCCACTTTGAGGGAAAGTTGTCAATACTGAATGAGACAAAAATGCCTCATTTGATATTGGATTTTTATGGCTAAAATGGTCATTGCCTTATTTACATGAAAAATAAAAGAACATGGGTAAATGCACTTACCCGGATAAGTCTTTCTTGAGAAACACTTACCTGGGTAAATGCATTTACCCGGATAAAGTAACTTATCAAAAAGCGAACAGAGCCTTAATGCTATATTCACTATTAGATAATTAGTGTTTAAATAATTTCTTACTACTATTCATGTCCTGTTTGGTTTATCCTAAGCTCTTTTAGTTCCTTCAATGTATTTTCAATCATTGCCAAAAATATAAAAATTAAATAGTACTATTGCAATGGTAAATCAATTAAGATACTAACATCTTCTTGAAAGTGTAAACCAGATGCTACAGTTAGTAGGAAAATCATTGTTAACAAGAAAAATATAATTAGAGAGAAATCAGCTGTGAACGGTTTTTCAAAAACTGTTATAAAGAGATTGGGTTTTATGGTTGTCACAAAACCACTTATAGGACACGAAAACAAGAAGAATCAAGTGAAATGCGGTTGCAAATCTTTGACTAACTAATTAATAACATCGTGATCATTGTTCTAATCAACTCCATTTGAATTTGCACCAACACAAATGCATGGGAGTGTAAGTACACTTTTACTTCAGATTTTACTTTATTTCAGGCTTTATTTTTCTGTTGTGCCTCAAACAAACAAAACCAAGTAGGGGTGACAAATGAAACTAAACTCTTGACAAATAAAGCCAAGAACTCTTATTTGCATAATACTTTCTCCAATATAAATGAGTTAGAAGTTTAGCACATATTAGCAGTAGGGATGCAATCAAGCTGAGTTGAGCCAAATTTTAGCATGTCTTAACTAGGTTAAACCAAAATACACCCATATTCAAACTTGAGTTTGATTTTGAAAGTTGAAAAACTAATTAAGCCAGATTCAACAATCTTTAGGGTGGAATATTTTATTAGTTGAATTCAAGTTCAAAAAAAAAAAACTAATCAAATATACTTTGAGATTTAGGGCCTGTTCGTTTGTTCTGGAGTCTGACATTTGAAAGTGCAATAATTACATTAAGGTCCCATTTGCTTTTCGGTAAGTTACTTACCCGAGTAAATGCACTTACTTGGGTAAGTTTTTCTTGATTTCCCAGTAAGTGCATTTACCCATGTTCTTTTATTTCCAATGTAAATAAGGCAATGGTCATTTTATCCATAACAATCCGTTATTAAAAGGGGCATTTTTGCCTTATTCAAGTGTTGGCAATTTTCCCCTAGGTGGAAAAGTCATTTATCCACCTAGAAGATGGATATCACTTACCCAGGTAAGTGATACCCAGGAAAATAAACTTTCCTTGATCCCCATATAAATCTGAACAAAGAACAAGGGATTCTTGGTCAATGGGAATCAAAATCCCATTGACCAATTTTCCCCCTCTCAAAATCCAGAAAAAGATCACCCCTAAGATGTATATTGGTATTGGTGAACTTTTCTTTCCTTTGAACTCTGAATGTAGAGAATGTTGTTCTTAATTCTGAAAATTATCAAATATTCATTTTGACCCCATATATGAGAGTTTTTGTTTGTCTTTTTGGAATTATCACTAAAAAACAAAAAGTTGTATGATTGCACTTTAAAAAATAAAAAATACGAGGAAACAACAACTATTTTTCTTTTAAAGTTAAAAAATTCCTCTAAGAAATAAGAGTTAATAGAAAACCAAGAGGCCCTTAAACTTGAATTCAGCCTAATCAAATTCCAACCTTAAACCACAATTTAATTGCACCCCTAATTGGTAGTCAAATGTTCTTAGATTTCTAATTCATAATGGGGCCTGCCAGAGCAGACAGAAATGCAAAAATAGCATCTTAACTATTAGTTAAGATAGTACAGTTTCGTCTCTATGTCTGGTGCCCTGTCAAAACTAACGCCTAATAAGGATCACATGGGTGCCTAATGACACCAGAATTGACATGCAGTGGTGCTGCTAAAAAGCTACTTTTTCTTGATGAGCCAAAAGCAAAATTGATGGATTTTCATTGGGAGTTTGGGACTCTTTTTCCAGCTATTCCTATCCTATGGAATGCTCTTGAGGAGACCCTACTCAGAAGTCGCAGTGAGCAAAGGAATGTAGTCTAATCTACATTCATTTTGTTGAGATCAGGGGTCTTACCTCTCCAAGTACACACTTTATGTTTACGAAAATCTGGCGTGTCTCTATGAATTGGTTCTGTAGCCCATTGTATCTTGTATGGCTCATCCTGTTCCAAGGGTGAATCAAGGGATTTTTTTTTAGGTAAGAATGTTGAAGTTGAGGGTTGCAAAATTGGCTGAAAAGACCTAAATTCAAATTGGATCCTATCGATTGGATCTAAGTACTTAAGAGATTTACTATGTTTTATCTAGAGAATGACCCCATGTTAAGGGGCAACCATATGAGTCTTACATCTTTATAATTGACAATTTATTTTGATCTCTTTTGTTTGAAAATCACTATTAATTTATGTTGTTTTTAGTATAATTTAAGAGATTAAATGAGGTCTTATTTGTAAGCAGTAACCCACTTTAATTGGTATTTACTATTTATTTGATAAATTTAATTTTAAAATCTAGATTAAGCTACACTTCCAAAGCAAGTTCAATATACCTTGCAATTAATAAACTATTTCATCTAAAAGAATGAAACTCACACCATTTGTATTAATTGTTTTGCCATTTTTATGAATTTCATTTATTTTTATTTTTATCCATTTAATATTTTGAATACTTTTAAGTTAAATTATTTGTTTAATCGTTACTTTTGAAATTGTTGTATTTGAGTAAAATTCAGTTACTACCATAACTTTTGAAGTGGTTACCTTTTAGGAATTAGGATGCGACGTGTGTGAATTTTAAGAGAGGGTGGAGTTATCACTTTTTTTGTGAGTGGATATACATTTTTAAGAATGAAAGCTTAACCTCTTCTAAAATGCAACCATAAATTATCTAATTAATGCTGCCATAATCCATGTCCATGTCCAACAGACTGACATGTGGCAGGATTTTATCTAATTGCATCCTTGGTTGGGCATAACTCATATTGAATAGCATCACTATGCCATCCTATTATTTAAGCTCTCTAGCACTCTTCAGTTCGTCTTGCACTCACAAGCATGGCTCGTAGGGATCCATGGCCTTAGACCTTTCGTGCTCACAAGTCGCTGGATCGCATTAACTTGTCTAGCTCACTAGTTCGTTACACTTCAAATCATCTAGTTCGGGACAGCATCGGTTCTTATTTCTAGGGATTCGGATGAACTGGAGACAAAGTTGTACACACCGGACTGGGCTACTTATCACGAATGAACACACCAGTATTCACTATGGGCCCCATCTGTACTGACGTATTCACTCGTGATATGTAACCCAGGCCGGTGTTCATGGTTTTGTCTCCGGCTAATTCGAGTTC